CCCCCCCTTCTTCCTTGGGGAGACACAATTGATCCCACTTGACAAGGTGAATTTTCTTTTCATCTTCCCAACCCCTCCACAAAAAATACCTCTGTAATTGCTCCAATCTTTTTGCTATTTTGTTTGGGATAGGGAAGAGGGAGAGAAAGTGGGTAGGTGAGAGAGGGTGCTCTTGATCAAAGTCACTCTACTCCCAAAGGACAGATATTTTTCCTTCCAAGAAGCCAGTTTTTTCTCCATTCTTTCAATAACTGGGACTCAAGCTGAAGAAGAAGACTAGGCAACCCCAAATACTTCACCGGGAGGAATTTGACCTGGCAAGTCATCACCTCTCCACATTCCTCTAAATTTGAGACTTCGCCCATTGGGATTATCTGACTTTACTCAGATTAACTTTCATCCCAGACCACTTCAAACCAGCTAAGAATTCCAAGTACCATTTCCAACTGATTCGGAGAGGCATCAACAAAACATTCACTAAGAGAGATTGAAATCCTAGCAAGGGAATGCTTCTTTCACATGGATCAGAAGGACTGGCAAATGGGATGGGAGAGATTGAAATCCTAGTAAGGGATCTCAATGCTTCTTTCACATGGATCAGAAGGACAGGAAAATGGGATGGCTAACTCTTCAGTAAAACAGGGGGTCTACAGGCAGCAACTTTTCTGGGTCGTATCGTAACACATTATGAAGGATTGTCTGTGTTTTCTATTTTTTTTGTAATCCTGTAACTGTTTTCCTCTCAATTATTAATAAAATTAATATTTCCTTGCCTATCAAAAATAAAAGTTTCAACTTTCAGATGTTCAAGCCAGGTAGCACCAACAAATAACATATGAAAACCTGCAATGGGGTAATACATCCCGGGCATTCTCTCCTGCCTTGCCACAAAGACAACAAAAATGAACAAGTTTTATTCCTTTGGATCTCAGCATGTTGATGGTTTTTACTCTTCAGTCTTCCCTTAATAGCCACCCACAAGGGGAGAGGAAAATAAAAACTTTCAACGGAACCTTTTGCTTCCAGATCCATTGTCAAGGAACCTTATCAGCTTATCTTCAGATGATTGAGATAAGTTTCAGAACCTTTGTTTAACAGTGAAGCATTCAGACTGGTCATTTGACCAACCGAGGCTATCCTCCCTTAGAGGTTGAGGTTTAACCTTCCCCAATAGTTGCAACATAGCTGATAGGGATTCAACATCCCTCTGAAGCCATGGAATCCATATTAGCTTACCACCGATAGATTCATAGAACTCATGATCTTTAGCAGATTTATCCAGTGCTAATGCATAGATGTTTGGAAATTCCTGACATAGTTGCTTAGTTCCACACCACCAGTCCTTCCAGAAATGGATTTTCTCACTATTCTAACTTTGAATGTAATAAAATTGAAGAAAAACTCCATATTCTGCATAACTCCTTTCCATATATTGGTGCCATTACAGCTCATGAATGTGATTTGTTTCCCAACCCAAACCAACCTCCCCATATTTATTACTTTATCAGTTTCCTCCAAACTGCCTTTTCAAGGCCAAACCACCATAACCATTTGGATAACAGTGCGTTAACTTGTTTAATTGTTTCAGGGACCTACATCCAATAAGAACAGATGCTGGAGCGTTGAACATAGATACATAATAAGTATGCAGCTTTGATAGACACTTCGAATGAGGGTGACCATTCCTCCTTTTGAAGGCATTCCTTTTTCCAGCCTACCAACTTGTAGCTAACCCGATTAATAATTACCAGATCCCAAATGTCTCTAGATTTGTAATTAGCTCCCAAAGGAAGGCCCAAAATTTTAGCTGGCAATGATCCAACCCTACACCTTAAGACAGATGCAAGATCACCAATGGATCTTCAGACTTGAAGCAGCCTCGAAACAAATCAATATGCATATAAGAAAAACTAAGTCCTGCGTAGCATGTCTAAAGCAAATAGGAGAATCATCGGCAAATTGAAGCAATGTCACTGCATTACCATCGGTCAAAACTTTGTAACCTTCCAAGTGACCTCCTTAAACAGCTCTACTGATCATTCTACTGACAGCTTCTACTACAATAACGAATAAAAATAAAGATAGGGGATCCCGTTAGTGCAAGCCTCTCTTGGCTACAATGGAACCTCTAGGAATTTCGTTTACAAGGATTTAGCTGCTTAGAGGAATACCCCCCCATCCAGTTCCTTCATTTCACTCTTGTAAAAGGACTCTTTTTTGAAAGGACACTTAGGCCCCGTTTGGCACGTCTTTTTCACACGATCTGTCCAGTGTTTTAAAAGTGCAAGGCGCAAAAAAGGCATAAGGGTCATTTTGCACCTGAGGTACAAGGCGCAAGGCGAGGCCCACGCCTTTTTAAGCAAGGCACAAAAATAAAATAAGAAAAGCTAAAAAATTTTAAAAAAAAGCCAAAAAATTTAAAAAAATAACAAAAAACATATTATTGAACATAATATTAATAAAAATATAAATTTTAATTTTGAAATAAATGTTTTAAAAGAACCTATTATCTAATATTAAAATACATAAATATAACATGTGAAGAATATTCAAATGAGAATTTAAAAATAAAATCAAATATATAAAACATTTTCAAGCATATAAAACCCACACTCTTTTTTTTCTCAATTGCGTTACTTCAAGTAGCTAATGTGATGTAAAACATATTACATTACTGATTCTACGAGCCACCTTTGTACCACGTCCCTTGAGGCAAGCCCAAACAAGTCCACATTAGGGTCTTAAATTCTTAGTTTTCACAGAAAAGAATAATGATTTTATAGTTTTAATTGCTTTTCAAGAAGATATTTTATTAGGATGAATGAATGAACAACATTACCCTAACGTGGGCTTGCCTCGAGGAACGTGACACAGGGATCTGTGGGCAGAGCCCCCGACCCTACCATTAGACACAAAAAAAGCAAGCATCAATGTTTCAAAAGACGCACGCCTAGGCTGAGGCGTAAGGTGCACCAGGCGTGCACCTTTTGAAAGGGTTGCACCTAGGACCTGGCACGGCACCTACCCTAAAGGCGCTTACCTTAGGCACACCTTTTAAATCATTGAGTCTGTCGGCTATTTACAAGCCCGGCAAACCGTGATTCGGTATTTTCCCGTTTGGCTTGCGACAAATCTAGCTGCCAAAAGCCGACGCACTGAAAAGATGCGAGAAGCCCAAAACGGGCGATTTTCAGGAAGCTCCAAATGGAGCTTTTGTGTTTTTTTCTATTGGTCTTCTTGTGAAAAGATACGCCTTAACCAAACGGGCTTCAGGCTGCTCAGATCTTAATGCAAAAGCTTAATGCGTCTTTTGACTGTCAAAGCTACCAAAAGATCTTCCCAAAAAGACTTGCCAAACAGCCCCTTTGATTATGAAAGTTGTTTACTATATTTTTTTAAATGCATTGATTTTTCTTTTTGAATAAGAAATGCCTTGGTTTTGAATAACTACTGTTTGCAAGTGTTGACATTCGGATTTAACTTGTATGGCTTGGACATGAAGCCAAGGCAAGTACCTGCATTATCATTTTATAATCATATAATTCTTAAAAAGATTATGTCCTTTATCATTTCAAAACATATCAACAAATATTTTTATGAACTGGTGTTTACAATGTTATAATATTCTTACGATAATTCTACACGGAATTTTCAACATTGTTGACATATTTCTTATTTGTAAGTTGTTGACACTTTGACTTGGGTGTGAATCATGTAATGAGAACAGTCTTGAAGCCTACTAGAGTTATTAGTAAGCTATGTTATGTTTTTCTTCCCCTATATATGATGCCTAGAACTCCATTATAGTGATTCGTATAGCATGTGTTTTTACGTGAGTAGGATTGTCAAGGCTGTCTATTATCAAGACAAAACATAATAAACTTTATTAATGCTATCTAAAATTAAAGTGAATAAGAACCCTTTGGTAATGAATACTGAACATGCATGCTATTAAAAATGGTCTCCTTGTGCTTTAGTTGAATGCATCCTTTAATCAAGTGCAGAAAGTACTAGAAAAAATACCATATGGAGAGAAATATAACATCAATGGCAAGGAAAAACGCTATGTTAAGAAAGACATGAACCTCCTGTGTAAGAAGGCAAAGTGGTCACTTGGCTCATCATATCATTGAAACGCTCTACAGATGGCTCTACCACCATGACTCCTGAATTCATCCTTTCAGAATGCTTCAGGTTAGCGCAGAACTTTCCACATTTAAAGAGATCTTCAATACTCTTGAGCACAATGGTATCAGCATCAAGATAGACAACTGCGTAGGACAATCTACTCAGAATATAAAAAACTTGAGCAAGTAACATAAAAAGGAGAGAAAATTCACTGAAAGAAACTCACATAGCGTCAAACTGTTCAAAACCAACCAAGCAAAATCAATTACCTTTCTTATAGTCTGTCATGTTAAATATCTTCAGTTTCGTATATACCCCCCAAAACCTCTTTGGCCGCACTTGATTGGGGTTAGCTAACAAACTTATAGGCTCCACAATCCAACCATCCGCCTAAACGAAAATCCCGATTAAATGATAAGAAACACGTAGAAAAGACAAAATCCTGAGATGAAAGCTTACCGGAATTCATTCCACTTAGAAAGTTATATAAATACAAATATACAACTAGAGAATCAAAACCTGCTTCAAGTATATGTAAACCCACAAAATAGTGCAAAGGAAAAGATCATTTACACATGCAGTTGAAGAAATAAACTTATCACAAAAACTGCAATTCCTTGACCTATATCTTTTTTTCCGTTTCGTAAAGGGGAATCATCGTACCTTAAGGAGCTTCTTAGCATAGTCCGACACACCATCGGAAACAAGAACAACCATATCTTTGGTAGTTCTAGTGTCGCGAATCGATTTCCCGAGAACCCGAACGCCAAGGAGAAACTCATCTCCGTAAAGAAGAGTAGCGTAAGCCTCCTTCTGAGACCCCAAAACTCGATCTGTGAGTCCGAATAGAAACAACGCAAACAGAACCACCAGAAAACGAGGATTATGGAATCTCGATCTCATCCTTGCGGAGTATTGAAATTCAAATTGGACGATAAACAGAAGATCCACCCCGGCAAATCAACTTTTTGAATCGAAAATTAATAAAATGAATCTTTTTGCTGCAAGCAATCCATGAAAACAAAAACAAAAGAGAGACTCAGAACTCAAAGCTTTTATCGTAAACCCTAGTCCGCGTCAAGCCTGCAATCCAGTCTCCGTCGTCAAAGACTAAAATCTTGCTCTGGCGTTTCTTTGTTAAGAATTTTGTTGTTTTTTTGCTGGTTATTGTTAAGAAATTAAAGATATAAAAGAGGATAAAAGTCTTAGGGTTTGCGAAATTGACTTACTGTAGCCTTAATGTTTATGTATTTTCTTAGGGTAAATGACTTACGGGGGGGTCTGTATCAAAGGCCCTCCTTACACTTTGTTTTGCGACAAAGACCCCCTGTACTATGACCGTGACACAAAAACCCCCCTCCATTAGTTTTCCATTGAAATTCACCATTACAATATTTTTTAATTCCCATACTGCCCTTACAATAACTATTCTCATAATGGGTGATGATGAGGGGTGATTTGGCCCAACCAAATAAGTAAAGGACATGTGGATGCGGCCTGCCAGCCACATGACAAATCAATGTGTGGTGCCACATCAGCAGATCAAGGGACCTCGAGTGCTCGATCACTTCAGAGCCGGAGCACTTCGGTACCCACGTGCGTCGAGGTGCCATATAACCGAACCTAGAAGCTTGCCAGTTGTCTCCGAACTTCTCAGGATCACACCGCAAGACTATAGGCCTTATCCTTACCCTGCCCGAATCGAGGAGAAACGGTAAGACTTGTCAGTTGGTACATTACCCTCCTTCCAAAGCGGAAGGGATTCCTACGTCACGGGCTGAGAAATTCGGAAGCATTTCGCGAGACCCACGGTAGCCCAGCTATATAAGGGCATCAACCCCCAAGACTCAGGCCACCCTGGGTTCTATGATCCTTTGTCTGGTAGTTTGGTCCAGCTCACTATGTGACTAGTATCCAAGTAATCTTCTAGCTAGGAGCTTCCAGATCACGCACCATCAATTGGCACCATCGATGTGAGCCTCATTGGGGGGTAGGACCACTCAACATCACTCCCTCAAAGTCCCTTCTATGGTTATCGGACAATTCACCATCCCCCTCACTGCCTCAAGGGTCCCCACCATGTCGATGTAGCAGACGGGTCAGTAGATAAACGTCCCGCTGCCAAGCGTCACCAGTTTAATGATCTACTTTAGAGTGTCAAATCCATGCAGATTCAGATGCAGCAGATGCATCAGTTCCAACAGTACTATTTCTATCAGTAGTACTAGCAATAGTTTCCACCACTACAGTCGAACCAGCAGCCAGGTCAATACCAGAATCAGATCCAAAACCAGCAGCCTCATCATAGTATTCGCCAATCTCCCCATCGAGGTGAGAGAAACTTACAGGTACCGGTCCCTCCTAGGGGCCGAACCCACCTCGGGGTAGGACCGATGGCCAACACACCCCTCCAGTTTCTCAAAGGGGGAACCTAAAAGATAGGCCCGAGGTTAGCCAGCATGAAAGGAAATGTCAGCAACAACATTCACGTCTTGAGAATCGTGAGTCACGGCTCGATGATCGCCAGCTTGGGCCCGAGGTGCGGGCTCAAGACGAGACCCCTTGGCACCCAGCAACAACCAACACTAGTCTCGTGACCAGGAAGAAAGAACCCTAGTCCACCTCACAATAGTGTTCGGGAGCAAGAGCGGACCAGAATCGAAGTACCCGATAACACAGAAGTTAATAGCACCAACGTGGAGCCAGCAAAGAAGCAGCAGTGGGGACATCGTAAGACTCGCCGATCTTCCGCCAGGAACAACTTGCCAGCAAGGAGCAGTCGCCTGCTAGAACGAAGTAGGGAAAGGGAGGAAGTGAGCTCAGTAACTGCACAACCGGCTCTTGCCTTGTTGAGTCGGCCCTCCCCTATCACCCGAGCTACTAGCAACCCCGATGCCAAAGGACTTTAAGGTACCCCCATTGGAAAAGTACGACAGAAGTTTCGACCCCAACGACCATGTAGACGTGTTCCAATCTCAAATGCATCTCGCCAGAACAGACGAAGCGTGCATGTGCGTAGCTTTCTCCACCACTTTCAATGGACTAGCTTGAACTTGGTACAAGAGCATCGCGCTATGCTCAATCAAAAGTTGGGCACAATTCATGGATATGTTCACAACCCATTTCATCACTAGTAAAAAGTGTCCGAAGTCACAAGAGAGCCTTCTTAACATGGTGTAAATGGAAAATGAGTCAATTCAGGGCTACATCAAGCATTTCAATGAAATGTACTTGCAGATACTCGATCTTGACCCAACAGTGCGCCTCACCACAGTGCGGAAAGAAGTTACACACAAGGAGTTCAGATGGTACGTCGAAGTAAATCGCCCGAAGAACATCATGGAGTTCTTAGCATTGCCAAAGAGGTTCATAAGCACATAAGAAGAGCTTGGTAGGGTTGTTCATAAGAAGGCCCAACCTGACCAAACTGACCAACCCGGACCGACCCAACCCGAGTCGGTCGGGTTTTCATCAGCACAGGTCGGTTTCGGGTTGTGCAAATTCCTAAACCGATGATTCGGGTCGGTTTCGGTTTTCTTGTGTGAAAATTGAAACCGGCCCGAACCGAATCGACTTAGTTCCTAGTTCAAACATGAAGTTCCAAAGCCCATTAGGCCACCTAGTTTTTGAATGGCTGCAAGAAACTTTGGATTAGTGAATAGTGATTAATGAACAACTTTTGTGATTAACTTTTCATTTAAATTTTATCATAGGAGATGGCTGAAATGATGTTCAATTTATGACTGTTTTTAAAATTAGCAAGATTTTATCACAGGGATGAACTTAGAATCGAAACCGACCCAACCCGACTCAAACCGACCAGGTCAGTTTTGCTTAACACTGGGTCGGTTTTGGTTTCTATGTAAGGTAACCCGACCAAGTCGGGTCGATTGGAAAAACCGCAGTAAACCAACCCAACCCGACCCATGAACAGCCCTAGAGCTTGGCCAAAAATCGGAAAGCTAGCAGGGCAAGAAGAGGAAAAGAGAAAAAGAATGAACAAGCAATGGCAAGCACAAAAGAAATAAGAGCAAATCATTGAGAAGAAGCAAGTCACCTCGCTCAAGAAGTAAGTTTGGCAAGCAGAACGTGATGCAATGGGACCCTACCAGCAATCTTGGCAAGCAACGGCCCAGCATTCCCGAGGAGGTAGAAGAGGTCGCTCCCGTGTTGCAAGCAAAGCCGAGTTGGATTGACCTACTCGTTGATCATCTACTCCACGAGACCCTACCAGCAGAACATAATGCAACTCAAAGGGTAGAGCGTCAATCAGCTCGGTACATCCTTATCGACGGACGGCTATACAGGAGGTCCTTTACGCTCCCTACCTACATTGCTTGTGACCTTTAGAAGCCGAAATAGTACTTCACGACATCCATGAAAGACTATGCGGAGGACACGTGGGGGGCAGAGCACTTGCCCAAAAAGCACTTAGACAGGGCTACTACTGGCCCACCAAGAAGGTAGACGCACTCAAACTCGTCAAGAAATGCGACAAAGGGTTAGAGGTACGCCAACATCCTCCGTCAACCTGCTGCATCTAAAGTACCTGACTAGCCCGTGGTCTTTCGCGTAGTGGGGGATTGACATCCTCAGACCATTTCCACCGGCAATCAAGCAGAGGAAATTCTTGGTCATAGTGGTGGACTACTTCACAAAGTGGGTGGAAGTTAAGCCGTTGGTGAATATTACAGCTCGGAACGTGCAGAACTTCTTCTGGAAGAATATTGTGTGTCATTTCAAACTATCCAAGGTGTTGATCTCAGACAATGAGAAGCAGTTCGAAGACATCAAGTTCCAGAACTAGTGTGCGAGATGGGGTTTCAGCAAAACTTCACTTCGGTGGCACACCCGCAGGTGAGCGAATAGGCCGAAGTAACGAACAGGGCCATCCTCCGCAGACTAAAAGCGCGATTGGACCGAGCCAAAGGTTTGTGGGCAGACGAACTACCAAAGTAATGAACAGAGCCATCCTCCGCAGACTAAAAGCGCGATTGGACCGAGCCAAAGGTTTGTGGGCAGACGAACTACCAAAGTAATGAACAGAGCCATCCTCCGCAGACTAAAAGCTCGCTTAGTGCAAGCTAAAGGGTTGTGGGTGGACGAGCTGCCCAGTGTCCTTTGGGCCTATAGGACTATCATCAAGACTACAACCGGTGAAACACCCTTCAACCTGATGTATGGAACGGAGGCCATGATTCCGACAAAGATCGAAGTACCAACATTGTGGCTCAAAGCATATGACGAAGAGGTGAATGACAACGAGCTACAGAACAATTTGGACCTGATCGAAGAAGTATGCGACCTGACCTATATCCGGACTGCGGCCTACCAACAACGGGTAGCTCGGTACTATAAGGCCTGGGTCAGAAGACGACAATTTCGAGTTGGTGACTTGGTGCTCTGTAAGGTAATGGTACCTGAGCCTGGTGTAGGTAAGCTCGGACCGAATTAGGAGGGTTTGTACCGGGTGAGATGAATCTTTGGAGAAGGCACATATGAACTCGAGACTATGGAAGGGAAACAAGTACCTCGAGCTTGGAACGTTGACAACTTGAGGAGGTATTATCTATGAGTTCGCGACTCCAATACGACTAAAAACCATGCACCGGAGCGTCCGATAAATTGGACAAGGTAGCCAAAAACCCTACGTCGGAACGTCCGGGTGATAGGGCTTCTAAGGCACGGAATAAAGAGTATTAAGAATGGAAGGAGAAAAATTCTCTTGCCCATTATTATATCATTACCTCCTTAGACAATCCAATATAGTGACAGTTCGATATGATCAAAGTGTCCAAGAATATCATGGATAATCTGAGGACAATGTATGGAGAGCATAATCATTCTACTCGATAAAAGGTCATAAAATTGTTTATGACCGCTCAAATGACTGAGAACCAACAGGTTCTTGACCATTGTCTAAAGATGATGGGCTATATCAATGAACTGGAGGCTCTCGGTTCAGGGCTTGATAATGACATTGAAATTGATGTTGTTCTTAACTCTTTGCCACCCTCCTTTAATTAGTTTATCATGAATTACAATATGAATAAGCTAAAAGTTAGCTTTCAGAAACTCAGCAATATGTTGCAAAGGGCTGAAGAACTAATTAAGAAGGATAGGATGATTTCCATGCTTGTTGGAAGTGGTAAATCGAGCAAGAAGAAGAGGAAGGCAAAG